TTAAATATGTTATGCTTGAAAAAGTTTCATGATCAGAATTTTTAAAATTAGCTATATCTTTGTTCTTAGTAAATTCCTATCATAGAACAAAAAGAACTTTAATCCATAAAACAAATCCTCAAAGTTATTACCTTTGCCAGTCATATTGTTTACACAATATTTAAAGTCAGTTGTGAGCAGTCCATAAGTACACTATCAACCAAAATGGCAATCAATTCGAAAATAAATTATAATCCTTAAGCTGGCAATTGTCAACAGTGAATTTCTAAAACTAGCTACTGGAATTGCAAGCATGATAAATTAAGATTTGCAAAGTCAGGCCTACAGAAAGCCTATTACCTCACGGGTGGGAGTCCTGTAGGTGTGCATGTGTTTTTCTTTCCCACTAATTTAAATTGCTTTAGGACACCAGATCTCAAGTGTACGCAGCTCGCATGCGCATGGGCGCATGCTCACGCACACACGCACAAGCACCTGGAAAGGTTGCAAGAAGACTGCTGGCTCCACTCCCAGCGATTCTGATTCAGTGGGTCTGGGGCGAAGTCCGATAATTTGCAGTTCTAACACGTTCCCAGGGGATGCTGAAGGATGTTAATCCAAGAGCCACGCTTTAATAAACAGCTCTGCTTTAGGCTAAGGTATATTATAGATGTAATGGAATTTAACCAGTTTTCTGTTGGTGGACATTTGTTTTCAAATCTATTGTTCTTAAAATGTTTCAAAAATCGTCTTTGTACTTAATTAGATATAACCCAATTTTTTAAGGTCCTTCGATAATTATTACCAGTTGAATTCTTGAAATAGGCTACCATGTTAGGGCCCCAGTCACTGTATTGCAGGGTCCGTGGGCTCTAGTCTATCAACTAGGATCATTTCTTATCATGTTATCATCAACTTTAAAGGGGAAAAAAATACCTATCAAATTTTAGTTTGCATTTCTTTGATTTCTAGTGAGTATCCTTTGTTTGTTTCCTCAGGAATTCATATTTCTTTTATGGCTTGTTATATTATTTGCCCACGCCCCTTGCCCGATCTGCTGCATGGCGTCACAAACTACTTTCTGGTTCAAGTACTTCCTGTCACATTCTTGCACACAGCTTTCCCATTTGGCAATTTAAATTTGTTTAGATCGTTTGATAAAAGGGAGCTTGAAAATTTGGAGAAATTCAATCTACCGACATCTTTTCTTGATGTCTACTATTATTACTAATCTTTAAGAAATCATTCTCACTAAAACAATATAGTAACAATTCACATACAGCTCCTTTTAGCTTTGTAGGTTTTTAATATGTATCTGTTAAGGTATCTTATTTTAATACATTGAAACTTTCAAGAGGTTTGTGGAAAATTTTTATAAGCTTTTAATTCCATTTTCTATGAACTTTTAGAAGCCTCATATAAGCATATATATCTAGGTTTTACCTTTTTGCTTCTGATTAACAAGTTCCCCCAACAAAATCTTCCTTTCCATATGAAAACTTAATTCCATCACATTCAAATAAGAAATATAAATATATAATAAAGATTATTTATTATATTTTTAATATCCAGAAAATATTATATGGTATGACATTTTTTCAATTACTGTAGCTTTAGCAGTACACTTTAACATGTATAGAGCATGAAGCCCTGGTGGTTCAGTGGTTAAATTGCTTGGCTCCTGACCCAAAGGTTGGCTGTTTGAATCCACAAGCTGCTTATCCCAAGAAAAATGTGCCAATATGCTTCTGTAAAAATTTACATCTCAGGAACCGTATGGAGAAGTTCTACTTGGTCTATTCAGTATTATATACTCTCTCTGAGTTAAAATCTACTTGGTGACATGGGTTTGGATCTTGGAGCAAGTCCCCACTACATCATCCTTCAGGCAAAGCTCTAACCTATTTGAGCTCAGTTATCAAAACCGTAACAGGGGCCTATGATGATTTCATAAGCTTGCTATGAGGAAACAACTGAAAGCACACACAACGAAGATGCTCTTTAAAAACCATACACAACTACATGACTGGAACTCACCTACATCCTGTGACTGCAGGATTACTGATGACCTCTTCCAACAGTGAAACAAATTTTCAGGTAGAAGTAAAATTAACATCAATAAAACAGAATGAATGCATACATTTACTTTACATGCTTCCTGGGCTCAATACTGCATTAAGTATTCTCAGGTAGAAGATAATCCTTTGTAATTAGACATCTCTTTACGGAGGGTCACAGGGAGGAGAAGAGCGAGTCAGGGTGCAGTGTAGCAACAATGAAACATACAACTTTCCTCTAGTTCCTAAATGCTCCCCCTTCCCGCCCCCACTATCATGATCCCAATTCTACCTTACAAATCTGGCTAGACCAGAGGATGTACACTGGTACAGATAGGAACTGGAAAAACAGGGAATCCAGGGTAGATGACCCCTTCAGGACCAGTGGTGAAAATGGCGATACCGGGAGGGTGGAGGGAGGGTGAAGTGGAAAGGGGGAACCGATTACAAGAATCTACATATAACCTCCTCCCTGGGGGACGGACAACAGAAAAGTGGGTGAAGGAAGACGTTGGACAGTGTAAGTATGACAAAATAATTTATAAATTATCAAGAGTTCATGAGGGAGAGGGGAGAGGGGAGCGGGGAGGGAGGGGAAAAAATGAGGAGCTGATGCCTTAAGTGGAAAGCAAATGTTTTGAGAATGATGAGGGCAATGAATGTACAAATGTGCTTTACACAATTGATGTATGTATGGATTGTGATAAGAGTTGTATAAGCCCCTAATCATTAAAAAAAAAAAAACTCCTATTAGTTCATTTGAGGAAAGGGAAAAACATGTTAGAGTTAGTTTGTTCATCGGAGAGAGAGGAAGGGGAGAATGCCTCCTTAATACACAAGGGTTCCATTTCCATTGGGCAACTCAAGTACTCCCTCCACACAAGAACACTTTGTTCTAATAATATGGCATTCTGTGATGCTCACCTTCCCAACACGATCACTGAAGACAAAGTGGGTGCATAAGCAAATGTGGTGAAGAAAGCTGATGGTGCCCGGCTATCAAAAGATATAGCATCTGAGTCTTAAAGGATTGAAGATAAACAAGCGGCCATCTAGCTTAGAAGCAACAAAGCCCACATGGAAGAAGCACACCAGCCTGTGTGATCATGAGGTGTCGATGAGATCAGGTATCAGGCATCTACGACCCAGAACAAAACCATACCCAAGGAGAATTGGGGGCGGAGGGTGTGTGTGTGTGTGTGCGCGTGCAAGGATTGGGTGTGGAGTAGAGACCTAAAGCCCATCTGTAGACAATTGGACATCCCCTCACATAAGGGTCACAAGGAAGAGATGAGCCAGTCAGGGTACAGTATAGGACCACTGAAACACACATCTTTCCTCCAGTTCCTTAATGCTTCCTTTCCCCGACTATCATGACCCCAATTTTACCTTACAAGTAAGGTTAGACCAGAACATGCGCACTGCTTCAGAGAAGAGCCCGCAACACAGGGAATCCAGGACAGATAAACCCCTCAGGGCCAACAATGAGAATAGAGATACCAGGAGGATAAGGGGAAGGTGGGGAGAAAAGGGGACAAAAAACAGAAAAGTGGGTGAAGGACAATGGAGAATGACTTAAGATAGGAAAATAATAAACTATAACTTATCAAGGGCTCACAAGGGGGAGGATGAGGAGCTGATATAAAGGGCTCAAGTAGAAAGAAAATGCTTTGAAAATGATGATGGCAACATACGTGCAAATGTGCTTGACACAATGGACAATTGTATGGATTGTGATGAGATGTACGAGCCCCCAATAAAAGTATTTAATTTTTTTAAAAGTTTCATTTCTTAGAGCTGTGGTGAGGTTCATAAATCTAGTCTCATTGATATAATCAATTTAGTTTATTAACCACTCCAATTTGGTTCCACAAATAATGAGAATATGAAACTCAGGACTATTCTTCTTCAATTATTTTACTGGGGGCTTGTACAACTCTTATCACAATGCATACATACATTGTGTGAAGCACATTTGTACATTTGTTGCTCTCATCATTCAAAACATTTTGCTTTCTACTTGAGCTCTTGGCATCAGATCATTTCCCCCCTCCCTCCCTGCACACCTCCCCCTCCCACGAACCCTTGATAATTTATAAATTATTATTATTTTGTCATATCTTACTGTCTGAAGTCTCCCTTCACCCACTTTTTGGTTGTCCGTCCCCCATGGAGGAGGTCACTTGTAAATCCTTATAATCGGTTCCCCCTTTCCACCCCACCCTCCCAATATAGCGTCTCTCACCACTGGTCCTAAAGGGATCATCTGGATCCCTGCGTTTCCAGTTCCCATCGGTACCAGTGTACAGCCTCTGGTCTAGTCGGATTTGTAAGGTAGAATTGGGATCATGATAGTGGAGGGGAGGAAACATTTAAGAACTAGAGGAAATTTGTATGTTGCATCGTTGCTTCACTGCACCCTGACTGGCTCATTTCCTCCCCGCGACCCTTTTAGGACTATTCTTGTACCCAAAATGCATATAATGAACACAACAACTGTCCTAATACAGGAGAAATTCAGACTATATCCATCCAAAGAAGTTGTAAGTCATGTACTACCACAAATTTAACCGTTAAGTATTGTTCCATCAAACAATCAAAAGGTGCTACAATGCCTATATGGTAAAGTGACTTTTTTTGAAGGTAGCAGTAGGGACATTACAGAGTCCTTGTGTAGTACAAATGGTAAATGTGCTCAGCTGTTAACCGACACCCTGTAAGTTCAAGGCCCTCCAGAAATGCCTTGTAAGAAAGGCTTAGCAGCCTACTTCTGTGAAATCAGTCACTGCAAACCGTAGGGAGCACAATGCTCTCCTGACTGCAGGTCGTCTCCAAGAGTTGGAATCAGCAGCTGGGTTTTGTAGGAATATCATAGAATGCTCTTTCCAACTCCCTCAATTAAACGGATTAGAAGTTAGCTCAATAAAATCTAAGTCTCAGAGCTCGATTACATTTTACACTTACTTTACCAAATCGTTGGTTTCCTGTTCACTGTCTTGTGTTGTATCCAGGGAAAAGCTATCTGAGAGCTCAGTGGAATTGGAATCCTGTTCTTCAGTTGGAAGCATCTGAACTTCAACGGAGCCACTGCAAATCTCCTCCCTTTGGAGCTCTTCCTCAGGCCGGTCCCTGCAAGTTGGCAAGTCTTTCTCAGTTTTGTCATGGTCATCTTTTAAAGAAGGCTGTCTGGTTTCACCAAGAGATGGTTTTCCTGAGATATTGAATAAGTTACCAAGAAACTGGAAAAAGCTTTCTTTGGGCTGTCTGTCGCCTTCTCCTCTTTTGGTATCAGAAGCAGCGCTGGGAAGATGACTTGGCTTTGTGGAATCTTCCTGCCTTGGAGGAGTGATTGGCTTCTCAGCATGGCTCTTTTCGTCTTCACTCTGAATCTTTGAAAACAAATTAGAGCATAATGAGCATCGCCATTCTAAACCGGAAAGAAAAACAGTTATCAGAACTACGGGAAGCCCATTGCATGCTAGATTCCGAGTCAAGATAACATGTGGCATTTATATGATTTTCTAAGTTTTGTTTAAAAATCATTAGAATAAGCTTTGGTATATAATCACAAGGGGGAAAAACTGCAACCCAAATTTTATTAACTCAAAAAAGAAATGGGTATAAGGAAAAATCTATAAAATAGCTCGTTTTGAAGCTACACCAAAGATGTCAAAGAACCGGGGAGCTGCAGATCCCTAGCTAAAACCGTGGTTCTCAGCCCCCGGTACCCAGACTGGCACCTTGGTGGCACAGTGGCTACGTGTTGGGCTGCTAACTGCAAGGTCAGAAGTTTGAAACCACTACTCGCTCTATGGAAGCAATACAGGCTTTCTACGCCTGTAAAGAGCAGCAGTCTTGGGAACTCACAGGGGCAGTTCTGCCCTATTCCATATGGTCGCACAGCCACCATCCCCTCCAGGGCAGCGAGTCTGGTTTGGCTTTTGAAGGTGGTGCTGGTGGCAATGGTGATTCAGTGGTAGAATCTTTCCAGAGAAGAGGCCCAGATTCCATTCCTGGCCAATGTGTCACATGCACAACATCCATCAGGGGAAGCTTGTATACTGCTGAGACTGACAGGACTGAGTAGGGCTTCTAGGCAAAGAGGTACTATGGAAGAAATGCCTGCTGGACTACTTTTGAAATCAGTGAATAAAAGCTGTATGGCACAAGACCAGGCAACATTTCATTCAGCTCTGCATGAGGTCACCAGCCTTCGGTATCCGGTCACAGATATAACGCAGCTCAGTGGATGGACTGTGGCCCTGTTGGAATGTCACAACCCTCCTAAGTGCTAAGAATTTTCACTCCCCTTGTAGAAATGAATCACCACGCCCTCTAAGAATGCATACTCGACAGGTTAGAAACTTTTGGAATCTTCTAGATATCAAAATGTTGTATCACTTCATGTACTTAACACATTGTTAGTTGCCACCAAACTGGCCTAGACTCACAGCAAGCTTTAAGGGCAACCGAAGGAAGCCCTGCTTGCTCAATCCTATGCCATCTCTGCGATGCTTGATATGGGTGAGACCATTGCTGAGGTCGTTGCATCACGTCATCTCAGTCCCTCTGCACCTGTGGTGCCCTTTAAGAACTACATCTTTCCTGACGACACAGTCAAAGGAAGCAAGAGGAAGTTCTCACCAGCCTCAGTTCTAAGGAGCATTGTGGATCTATTTCTCCAAAGCTGATTTGTTCATTTCTCTGGACTTCGACATATAGTTAGTATTTAAATTGTCCTATTGGAGGAAAGGACACCTCGCTTTTTTTTCTCAGAAGTAGGAAATAACATTAAAGCAAATCTGAACTACCTTATGTATAATGTTTGTCCTAGCGTGCTCCGGCAATTCACATTTAACAAGATCCATGGGATGAGTTTAGTCTATATACCAATTACATTACATTAAGATGCCACACAATGGAGAATCCTAAGTTGAATCTCCTCGGTGCCTGCCTCTTAAAGAGATTACAGTCTACTAAGGGCTTCTTAAATGCTTATATACTCGATGTAGGTTACAGTAAGTGCTTTTGATTCTTTTACAGTCATTAGCTGGCTTGCCTCAATTACAGGATGCTACTAATGGATAGAGTTTCCTCTGATGAAGAAAGCTTTATTTGAAAGTTCATCTTTATCATTTTACTAGAAAATATCCAACTTCCAGCCCACATGAAATAAAGATGAATTTAATGAGCCTTCGAAAACAAGCGGGCAAGATGATTTAAATTCACTTCAACTCTGTAAATATTGACGGATAGCCTATTTTATGACAAGCTCTATGCTGTGCACCAGTGATACATTTATGAATAAGACTGATGGCTTCTATTCCCTTGAGTCATGTACAATCTACTGAATAGCACCATCAGCAAAACTTTAACAAAGCAATACAGTAAATGTTGCCAAGGGAGCAGTGCAGCACATGTGAGAACCCAGGGCAAGAGTGGCTGGCCCAGACTGGGTAGAAACGATGGCAGAAGAGATAAATCAGGGGACGCCTGCGAAAGAAAGCACACTCGAAACTGAGACCTAAAAAGTGACCTTGAGTTTCCCAGGCACACATTTGTGCGGTGTGTGTGTGTGTGTGTGTGTGCGTGCGTGCACGTATAATATGACTATCAGGTTAAGGTACAATAAGAAAAATAATGAGGTTAGTTTGGAGAGGTAAGTCAAGGGACAGATTATGTCAAGCCTTGGTGTTTGTGTATATTTAAATTCATCTCTTATTATTAGAAAGCTAACAGCATTTTCAAACACGGTAGCTTTATGCAAAAGCACCTACATACACCTCAGCATTTCATTATGAAGCCACCTCACTAGGCACGGTCATCCTGAAGAGAATGAGGGAAGACAGTCACAAGGTGCTGCCAATCTAGGGGGAAAGCCCATTGAGAGGCCTCTGGAAACACACGACGACCTAATGCCCGTGTTAACGTAAACTCAGAGTGGCACTAGGTAGCCTTGCAGATGTTAAATGCTTCCCGAGGTACATTTGCCTCCTCACACATGAGCAATTATGCTGCAGCGGATCACTTCATATGGCCCTTTTAGATCCAGTCTTGGCAACTTCCAACAAATTACCAGGTGGGGGGGAAAAGGAAAGACAAATCGGAACCCACTGCTATCGAGTAGATTCCAACCCATAGCAACTCTAAGAAAGATTAGACTTGTCCCTCTGAGTTTCCAACACATTTAATCTTTATGTGAGCAGCCAGCTCACCTTTCTCACCTGGGAGGTTCAAACAAACCACTGACCTTGCAATTAGCAGCTTAATGCATAACTCACTACTTTGCAAATGTGAGGTGCCTGTGGTCATCAAAGTGGCTGGAGAGTCTGCCAGTACTGTGAATAAGGGCATGGCACCCTTGTGGAGATGGGACCATGCAAATCAATACTGGGATATGGAACTCTCACATGGGGATTGATCTGTTTTGCCATCCTACTAAGCTTAAAACGAACCATACCAGGAGGCAGAGAGAGGAACTTTCACTACCATCAAGAAAGAAGAGCCAAGAGTGGGCCATGTCTTTTGGACCCAAGATTCCTGCGCAGAACCTCTTCAATCCAGGAGACAGGAAGCTGTGACTCACAGACAGCAAGAGACGATGATAAACAGCAAAGATGTAGAGGCAGCAGATCCAAATGAGCAGCATGAGACCGAGCAGAAGGTTGCCTGGTCTACGAAGAGAGAAAACGACCTGCCTTCCAGCAGGAAGGAGACGTGCTGGCCTCTTGAGTTATCTCCAAGTACTACCGCAGCTTTAGCTAGGTTTGCCAACCCATTGGGCTACAGCTGAGTGACTTTTGGCCAAGGCTTATTGGTGGGGTGGGGTGCCTCTGGGCACTTAACCCACACTGCTAAAGATTTATAACTTTTTCCCCAGTAAGGCCACTTGCAGGCACAGTGGAGAAGAGGTTGTGCTGATCACACAACTGACTCCTGAAAATTTTCAGATTCTGAACCAGATGTGGTTACTTCTCCAGTGAGTAATAGAATTGCAAATATGATCTGTGAGTTCAGCATGGCTATTGCAATGAATTGGTGAACCCAGCAGAGAAGCAGAGCATGCCATGAGAGGGATGGTTGGTGTCAGAAATGATGAGCAGGGGGAGGACACAGCTGACCTCTGCCCCATCTGAACAGTTGTGGGAGGCTGATGCTAGTCTCGTCTTTCTCCCCTCTTGTGAAGTTCGCTCAGATGCTGCCCCCATGCCATTTTTACACCAGTAAGGCAAACGTGTGTGCTCTCAGTGGAGACCAACTTGAGTTTCTATGTTCAACAGCATATTGGCATACCACCTCATGCTTCCTGGACTCGGTAAAGCTTGAGGCAAATGTACCAACTTGCCCTGCCTTTTGAACAGGCTCGTTCACATACTTGTCAAAGGAATGTACATCCAAGAGTATCTGGCAGTATCTGTCAGATGTCATGCTCACGAGTCCTTAACAGAGGAAAGCTGAAGTGTGAGTCAGAAAAAGATCAGGCAAAACCACCTTAGGGCACTGTAGGTTCCTGCGATAAAGTTGTGCAAGAAGGCAAGAGCATTGTAATTATAATGTCATTTGTTCACTTCGTTCCACATTTTAGTACAAGTTCAAAATGGTTAACAGGAGCATTCCACTATGACTAAAGGAATTTAGCATGCGAAAAGACGTTTAGACCCCATTAACCCAGTAAATTAATTTCAGGTCAATAATCACAGCTTGTTTCCCACCTTTGGCTTTAATCGCAACATAGTGTTTTGGGACCCATGTGTTAACACTTTCCTATATAACTTGCCTGTTTCTGCACTAGGAATACCATCCGCTGCCCGGAGTTGCTCTAAGTCTCCTCCTTCACTGCCTGCAACTGCAACCCAACCGCACTTGCGCCAACCTCCTCACTACTGGAGCCTGTGCTGAGTCAGCTGCGCCCTCTGTTCACAAACACAGCATGATGACTTCTGCGTAGGGCAGCAGACAATATATGCCAGTTGGGACTTTGAAAATGTTCATGTACAGCAAAGATTTCTGCACATTTCTTCTCCTTTAACCACACCATTTATTTTTGTTGTAATTATCAGCTGCATTTCTCCCCACTTCAAAATGACCTGCAAAATGACATCAATTTCTTTTTCCTCCTGAGTTCATCCTGGGTAGCTATTTAAAGACCAACGAACAAATGAGCAACATAAGCTATTTATTAAAATATCACAGAAATATTCTTAACATGCTTTTGTAATTACGAGCTGCCACTGGCTTGTCCCTGCTCAAGAACAAGACTTTTGTCACCCATACGACTTTTACACTAACTGCTGAGTAGATCGCCTAGCTCTTCTTCCTAGTCCGTGTGGGTCTGGAAGCTCCACTGAAATCTGTGTAACATCAAGTCAGCACACGAGCCTCTACTGAC